AGCTTGCCGGGGGTAGCTGGCAGGACTTCTTTTCGGGGGCCTGAGCCCGTTTGGGGCCCTAGAAGAACCCTGGCAAGTGGGGAGTGGGGAGGGCCGCTCAGACACCCTGAACTAGTGGTGGGATTCAGCCGATTAGCACAGGTTTGGTGAACTGATGCCTAATGTTTTGTTGTGTTCTACCGGCAATGCGATTAATGTGGCTCCTGTACCCAGGGTTCCCTCCCAGGAGGGCGGCCAGACACACACATTCCTTACTGTCTAAAGGTTCACCTGTGCAGCAGCAGGTTGCTCAGATCAGATTGAAATCATACTCGCCCTGTCAGTCTGTCGTGGTTTTATACTTACAACGGGCATCGGGCAGTGAACCAGCTGGTAAATGCTGTGAACCCCACTACTGTGTGGGCGTCTCCAGTGCGCTGTATCAGCCGTGCACACACTGCGAGGTGAACCTGGCGTCCCAGGTGAGGGCGGAGAGTGCCGGCATCTCAGCCCCGCCCCCGCCCCTCACGCGCTTTATGGCCTCTGACCATGTGAGACTGCATCTTGTGTTTGCAAACTGTTGCATGCCCTGAGCAGCTCTGAGCCTGGGCAGTGGGGGTCTTGGCACCGGAGAAAAAGCACGTGGGAGGGTCTCAAACCAAACTCATGGCCACTGAGGTGGTTCCGACTCACAGCGACCCTACAGGACAGGGTAGCGCTGCCTCTGCGTTCCCAGACTAACTCTTCACCGAAACGGACAGCTTCCTCTCTCCCGCAGAGCGCCAGGTGGTTCCAAACTGCTGACCTTGTCCAGCGGCCACCTAAGCCACAGCCCACACACCCCATGAAGCCCCTCCAACGGGCACGACCAGGGCTATGGAGCTGGGCTCCATGTGGCTCTGACGGCTGGTCCCGAGGCAGACTGCCAGGGCTTTCTTACATGGCATGTTACACGGAGTGGGCTCACACCTCCAGTCTCTCCACCAGTCACACCTCTAGTCCCACCTCCAGCCTCACCTCCAGCCTCTCCTAGATTGAGCAGCTGAGGGCCACAGTTTGGGCCAACTAGTGACGCCCCTGCAGAATCCCTGAGAGGACCCCAGCAGGGGCGTGGGGAGGGGGACTGGGCACTTAAGCCCCTCCCTGTCCTGCTCAGAGCTAGGGGTACACAGATAGGGCTCAGAAAGAGAAGTAAAGAATTGCTTTATTTCTGGCAGGGTGGGTCGGGGCCTGGCTGCATGAGGGTTGGAGCCCACCTGCTGTGGGGTGGGGTTTGCTGACAGGAGAACAAGTGCTTTCAGCCTTGCCCAGACCATAGGGGCAGGAGCCCATGTTTGACCAAGGTGGAGGTGGGGGTAGAGGAAGGCAAGAGAGGACAGCTTCGTGAGCCAGGAGAAGCTGCCTTCTGGCGCAGGTGGCACAGGGCAAAGGAGGTGTTATCATTGAGATGCCCGCCCCTGGAGTGTCCAGGCCCCTTGTGGCTAGAGCGATTCGATCAGGTCTGCATGGCTGCACCCTGCAGCTGGACTCACTCACTGGTAGGGGTTGGGCCTGGACAGGGTGGGGCGCTGGCTGCAGGACATGTCCTCGTATACCACGGTGGCTGCACTCCGGGACTTCCCTGAGCAGAGCTGCTTGATCTGGAAGAGAAGGCCTGACGTCCTGCTGGTGGCCATGCTCAGAGCGCTTCCCCCGGCCTCCCCCTGCACCTTCCAGCCTGTCTACAGCCTGTGGCCAGGCCTGGCCAGCACCACCCATTCTCCCCACCCGTGGCTGGCAGGACAGTGTTCTGAGAGCTGCAGGGACCTGGAGCTGGG